AAAAAAAAAAAAAAAAAAAAAAAAAAAAAAAAAAAAAAAAAAAAAAAAAAAAAAAAAAAAAAAAAAACATGAGCGTTTCTTCCATCTCTGATATACAAGAAAGGCATTTTTTGAAAATGATTCTTCAGAAAAGGAAGAAAAAAAGCTCTGCAGAAAAAAAATCTTTCCAAAAATTTTGCAGATAAAAAAAATCAAACTTGTTTGCCTCCCAAATAAAAATTCTTTCTGCAAGAACTCTGTAGTGTTCTGCGACAATGTCGCTGTGTCCTCACGATTCTGCCACGGGCTCTTATATATAGTTAAGATTTGAGAGAGCCTATCTTTTAACTTTGGGACATAAAAGCCATGAGAAAATAAAAGCTAAAAGGAATACAAATTAAATTTTACAGAGAAAATAAGGTGAGCATGTTGGCATAAATTACTTTACTTCTTGACTTTAGCTTTGGCAAGAAATCCGGCTGGAAGATCGTTGTATCCACTGCGTTTGGTATAACTGATATTGTATTTGGACAAACATTTGCTCTAAGAGCAGTATTTTCTTTCCTAATTAAAACAAGTACATTTTAAAGAATAAACTTTAAAAGTAAAAACAGCAATTATGAAATCAAAATAAATTTTTAAAAATGGCATGTAATAAACAAAAAAAACTTTAAATTTATGGAATAAGAAATCAAAAATCATGTATAAAGTAGATAAATACAGTAGGGAACCGATTATCCGGAACGATCGGGACCATCGCTATTCCGGATAACTGATTTTTCCGGTTTTCTTAATCGCTACAAAAAGCCGTTTTTTTTATTGTTAAACCTAACTAAAAAAAAAAAGAATCGGAAATAATCTTAACGATGAAGTAATACACTAATGATTATTTCCAAAATGATGGTAAAGTAAACATCTTTCAAAATAGAAAGAAAAATCCTAAAATCTTATGAGGGAAAAATTTTTTTTTTTAAATAGCGGGAAAATTTATCGAATTTTGTTCCGGTTTTCTGATTTCCAGATAACAGGTTCTGTACTGTACTACAATTCCAAAGAAAAGCAGTAAAAATTCCATAAGAAAATTGAAACCAATAGAAAATTTTAGAGATGAAAACAATGAATAATATAATAATGACATCCGAAACTGACGTCGTCAGGGGGTAACAGCTCCAAAAAGAAAGAAAAAACACACAACTTTTTCTATAGAGAGAGCACTTCAAATGTTTAAACTTTTCTCTCGCTGTATCCCAAAGATTTTGCAAAAAGTTCAGGAGGAGAGAATACAAAATGAAAATGTTAAATATATAAACTAATTACAATAGGAAAACAATGTTCAAAAAACCTACTTAAAAATATTCCATAGTTAAACCAAAGCAGCACACTACTTTCTGAAAATCCTTAACCAAACAGAAATTCACTAACAAACTACGCCCCCATTTTATGAGCAGAAAGAAGAAAAAAACGTAAGCAAGAAAGTTGTCGCCACTTGTTTGTAGAAAAGAGCTTAACTGGGACAACTCAGTTTACTTTTGTATTTTGTTCTCTTTTTATTCTCTTTTTCTCTCTTTCTGGACTTTTTGCAAAACCTTGGAGGTACAGAAAGAGCAAATTTCAGACATTTGCCATGCTCTCTCGATAGAAAAGGTTTTGTGTTTTTATGACTTCCGGAACTGGTAACCCCTGACGACGTCAGCTTCGATGTCATTATTACATTTTTCATTATTTTCTTCTTTAAAATTTTCTATTTAAATATATGGGTAACAACTATAAAAGCTAAAAGATATACACTAAACAAAATCGAATTGCATAAATGTGTGCAAAAATTATTTGCGTTTTTGTTTTCTGGTATTTTAGCCACTGGAATTATGAAAATGGAAACTATTACTCTCAAATTATATTAAAACAAACTGACACTCACAATAATGAATAAACATAAAGTGTTATATGATGAATAAGAATAAAATAGGATATTAAAATTAATAAAAAAAACTTGAACTTTCGTGATTCTATTTTTTTAATGTAAAGCATTTGTGATCAGACTACTTAATACTTAAAAAATTACTCCATTAATGTTTCGTTCAGGTTCATAAAGCATATGCAAAAACTGGAAATGATTCATTTGTTTAAATTATATTCATTTAAGTGAAAAATTTTGCCAATTGGCAATTTGTTAAAAAAAAAACTTAAATAATTTTCTTTAATTCTATTTAATTCTTTTGAACAAGATAATTTTTTTTTAAAATTTGCATCAATTTTCAAGCACCCAATCTAAAGTTATTTTCTTTCAGAAAAAAAGTTTTAGAAAATTAAGTTTATAACAGAGAAAATAAAATTTTAAATGGCATATATGTGAAAATTAATGTTCTTCGTTACTCTGCCATTTTATCTGTTTACATATATATTCTCAGAAACTTGCCATTTTCAATCAGCATACATATATCTGATAAAGTAATACATACCTGCCAACATTGTAGAAAAAAAATAACGGAGATTTTAATGTTTCACTAGCGATTTATCATGTATAATCATGTAAGTCAAAAAGAGAAATTCAAAAGTGGAAATAACATAAGCACTTACATTTAGCAAAGTAAAAAATATGCATATAAATCTTAATCTAAAGAAGATTCTTTTAAACCATTATTTATAATTACTTAAACTATTTTATAACCATTGTTAAACAGCCAACCCAATTTTTGGTTCATGGCTACTAGTGTTCAACTCGGTAGCCTTGTAATTTTAAACCCAATACAGAAGACAAGGAAACTTTATATTGTGGAGAACATTTTGATAGAACTAACCCGCATTTGCATTACATGGAAAGGAAAACCACAAAAACACCCCAAGGGTAGCGTGACCGCAAAAGGTACTTAAAATATTAACACTCAACACACTGCATACAACTTTTTCAACAAATATGGAGAAATTTGAGAATATACAGGCAAACAGGTGGTAGTCTTAAAATGCAATAGTCTTTGTTAAAAAACAGGAGAATTGGCAGGTATGGTAATAGAACTTCGAGAAACATGCTACTAAGAGCATAAAAACTTGATTCTTCAAAAAAAGAAATTCATAATTATAAAAGAAAAAGAAATAGTACTCAGATTCCAAAATGGTGGCCTGTTTCCCAAAAAGTACCAGAACAACATGCAAGTGTGTTACGACCTCATTGCATAGCAATGAGAGGAGTTATTACGATAAATTAATTTCATAACTTAACAAAAAACATGAGAATACCTTAAAAAGATATTAATAAACAATACACATTTTATAATCATAAAGAAAAATTAAACTATATCTATTATATGGTAATTAAAATATATCTAAATATAGCATACCCAGTATGAGACACACATATCACATGATTACAGACACTCAAAGTCATTTGGAGAAGTTTGTTTGTGATTATGGCACTGGCATCTGCAAACCCAAATAGGGAATGATCTGTAAAAACTGCTTTTAGTCCCATTGTCTTAGCGTGAAGCATTGCTTCATGTGCTAATGCAGAAAATGCCTGAAAAAAATTTGCATAAATTTTAATTTTTTTTAAATATCTTATATTTTTAAACATCAAAACTGTAAAAGAAAATTTTAAAAAATTTAATATGGAAGACAGAAAAACTTGGAAAAGAAAACAAAAATATAAATTAGAGAAATTATTCTGTCTAAATTTTTCTACTTATACGTAAATAACAAAATTTGTTTTTCTTTTGTATTGTTATATTAATTAAAAGTGTTCCAATAAATAAAAAATTTTAATCACACATATTTTACTCAAATTCCAAGGTAAGCTGATGACTTGCATACCCTAATTGTAAGTAATTATGACAACTATGTCCTTTATAACTATTATTATTTTTAAAAAAAGGTAGTTCTATCATATTGGCTTGGTTGCATTTGGTTATGCCACATTGAAATAGTAGATCTGCTCTTGCTGTTATTATAGCATTGTAGTTTAATTCATTTACTATCATCTATTTTTCTTCGTATACCTTAATTGATTATAAGATATATTTAAATAAATAAACTGCAATACTATTGCATAATAATTTTCATTCCTGAGAATGTGTTACTTTAGTATAATAATACAGATTGAAACATAAACATTAGTTAAAAATATTAAGGCAATAGTTTACAATGGGGGGTACCTCCCATTTTTGGTAACATTTTTGGTGCCAAGGAGGATGTCAAAAATTAATAGATATAATCAGAAACAGGGTTTCATCGAAATTGTACAATTGACATTTTTCGGCTCTGACAAGCGAGTAACTAATGATAAAAGAAAAAGGAATTTTAACATTTAAATTAATATGTATGAAAATAAACCAAAAGCCAATCTGGTAATATAAAAAAAATTTTGGCAACCTGAAAGAGATGTCAATGAAAGCAAAGATTATCATGATAATCAAAAACGGAGTTTCAGCAAAAATTGTACAATTTAAATTTTTTGCCAACCCTAGGTTTTCCAGACTCTACACTAGAGCCAAGGTAAATTAATAAATGATAAGCATTAGTACCTTCAGTGATAGTTAATTTATTAATTTTTTGGAATTTGGCAACAAAGTTGGCAAACAATACAATTTTAGGAATTTTTTACACAATTTTTGAGGATCCTTTACAGCAAAAGTAGAAAAAAAAAGTAATCTTACTGAATGTCCATGTACAATAGAAATTTTTTCTCTAACAAGGATGAAACGGATGACAGGGAAGGTGGTAAATAATGTTGGTAGTGTGCACTGATTGTACACCACCCATACTGGCATATAATAAACCTAAAAAAAAAAGTAAATGTAAAACGAAGTATGCAATTAATAATTGAATTAATTATAAGTACATAATTAGTTTTAAAACAAATAAAACCCCATTATATTTAATATAAAAGTTACAGTAATTTATAAGTTTTAAGACAATTATAAATAAAAAATAACATAAATTGATATATGGATTGATAATTGAATATTTAAATTAAAAATTTGAAAGTTTATAGTAAATTTTTTTTTATTTTGTATTTTACTAATTGTTTTTTTTCTTAATAAAAAAATGCACTGTAAACTTTAAAATAAAGAAAACTCTCCTAAGATTTATTTAAACTTTTAAAACAATATAATAAACAATGAATTTTTAAAATAATATTAGAACTTTATATTTTTCGTGTGAAATGTACAATGATTATTAATATAGAAAACTAAGCAAATTTAAATTCAATATAAAACACTTAAAAATAGAAATAATTTTTTTTCCTGACATTAAACTAACTCTAAACTATTAAAGATTTCCTTAGTCATATATTATTTAAATTAATTTTAAAAAATTTTAAGTTGTTGAAGGTAAAACAGAAAATTTTGAGTTGGGAGCAACAATAACTTGCAAGAGAATCAAAATTTACTTTGCAAGTGATTTTGTTAACTAAAAAAGAATTATAAATAATATACTACAACAAAAATTTATAGCATATAGTGCTGAATATGAATTCAAGCTGAAAAACAAAGTTTGAAATCCAAAAATTAATAGGGAACCAAAATTGAAACTGACATCAATTTTTTAAAAAAAAAATTTTAAAAAAAAAGGATTAAAAGAATAAAAGTGTAATTTTAAAGCTACACAAACATATAAAATGCTAAAACTATTAAAATAAATTCAGGTGCATAATAAATTATTCACAATCTATTTAATTTTAAAAAAAAGGAAACCTCCTCTGATGAATAATTAAAATTAGACAATATACAACATTTCTTAGGAATTTGCAACAAAAAAAAAAGTTTGATATTGCTGTGCCTGAGGGAAAAAATTACAAAAGTTGTTATGCATTTTAATAATATTATTAAGAATATTAAAATATTATTATTAAAATAATATTAATAATATTATTTTAGTAATATTATTTTAGTAATATAACTTTAATAATATTATTTTAATAATATGTAAAATTTAAAAATTACTTATAAACATACTTTTAATCCATTGGTTAAATATCTTATTCCTTTACGATTTCCATAGGCATGAGTAATTACAATGACTTTGTGACCTTTTTTAATAAGACACTGAGCAAGTTGGTAAATATGACTCTCTACCCCACCAGTATTGGGATAGAAGAAATCAGACACCATACTAGAAGTAAAAAATATTCTGTGTTAGAATTTAATGTATATGAACACTGTGTCAATTCATATATAACTTCTGGCAGTTCATCAGATTTGAAAAGAACTTTTTAAACTACATAAACAAAGCATATTTTATTTTTGTTAAATAATAGGTAATAAAAATTTTTAAAATAATAAATTCTAAAAAGTTTTTTAATAAATAAATGTTTTATGTAAGCTATTATTTCAGTTGTAAAGTTAACATTTTGAGTTAGATGTG